GGTCTCCTGCTTCCTTTGAAAGACAAAATTTTCTTCAAACTAGACCTACTCAAGTTGTGTGTTACTGATTCGTAAGACAGTGCACCCCAAACCGTTAATGGCGTGGTGCCTGGAGACCTGCTCTCAGTAGTCCTGGTTGCACAGCTGCTGGCACAGTGTTAAAGCTGTTGCGTTGTGTTTCGTGGAGCTGCTGTTGTGTTCCCGGTGCTGTAAACATGGGCTGTTGGCATGGCCTTGACGCAGATCTGGTTTGCTGACCCTACCCTGGGGATAAGCGAGTTTGTCCTCTTTGTGCATGTCCATTTCTGAAAAGTGCAATGGAAGTGGTGGACTTTATTAGATGGAAAGAGAAGAGCTGCCAGGCAGGTTTTTATCACAGAAATCAAATATACTTATTTATTTCTCTGTGTGTAGGTAACATATGGTCATTTTTCATCCTCTGACCTCGGGTCCTTTACAGAAGAAACATTACACTAAAAATGGATGAAAGGAAAGTAAGACTCAGAGGAGGAAAGTGCATTGTTTAGAGCCCCAAGCAGGTTGAAGCATGAGCTGCAAATGCGATTCTTATGTCCTGAAACTTGACTGTGTGCTACGCCCCATTGCATTGCAAGGTTGAAGTTTCTTGTAATGGCAAAATACAGTCTTGAAAAAACTGGCTGCAAAGATTTTATTTGTTTAAACAAAGGCTTTGTGATTCCAGAATTCTCTCCCCTTTCATATGCTATAAACCACCTCCTCCACCTCCCCTCTGAAATATGAATTTTGGAGTAATCCATCAAGAAAAAGAGAGACAGAGCCTTGATCCTTTGACTTCGGTTGAGCTGTGCAATTTATATCTACTTAAACCAAAAGCCCTTTTAATATTCTGCAGAGACTCTGGGTATACAAATGAGCGTGGGCTGTCAGAGCTGAGAAATGGGGCAGAGATGCCAAGAGGTTTCTTTGCCGTTTTGCACAAAACTCTGACCTGCGGCCCCGTGGTGAAAGTTGGCCTGGTTTTTTTTACTCCCCTCAGTGCCACTGTGATAATTGTGCTGAAATCATTAGAGGCCCATTGGTACAAAGCCGTTATCATGCCTTTCTTGTTTCGAGTGAGGAGTTTGAAGACTTGTGGGGCTTTCAGCTTTGAGCAGCTGAATTGTACAACTATTTAATCATGAAATTATGCAAATGCTGCTCGAGCCCTGCAAAGCGGGAATGCCAAGTTAGCAAGGCACCCGAAGTCAGTCATTCACCACTGTAAGTCGCTTGTCGTAGGAGCGTATCTGGAGTGGCAGCCGCAGGCTTACAGCCCGGTGTCTGTTTGCAAAGCTGCAGCGCTGGAGGCACTGGCTCAGCCTTTAATCGAAGATCAGTCAAATGTAGCCACCATTGGATCAGGGTTAAGTGGGGCACTGCTGGCACAGGGTACATGACTTGTTATTTTCCAGCACGCCAGGTCTACCACATCGCTGATATGTTAGACTTTTCTTTCCCTCTAGTTGCATTGCTTTACCCTCGCAGCCGGAGAAGGGGAATGGGAGGGTGGGAAGGGAGAGGTGTGCTAGGACAGTAACAGTGAGACATTATGGAGACAGACTGGGTGTCACGTGATATGCTGGTACAGTCTCATGTTCATTATCTCAATTATTTATCCTCCCTGCTGGAACACTTCTAAAACAAATCCTACCATGTGTTTTGAGGTTGGGCTTCATAGAGTGAAATCACAACTCCTTTCTCAGAGTTTAGCTGGAAAAATACAAATCTGCCAACTAGGAATATGAAGGAAATAAACTGGGGTTCTGTGTAGCAACAAGTGATGGATTTCTGCAGATATGGAAAGCGTCTGCTCTGGAGTTCCTGGTCAGAGGGTATGTGTATTTGCTCCAGTGTTATATTCGTTGCATGTGAAATAATGATGTGAGATTCTCAAGCTCGTTTTAATAAAGCAGACTGCTTTCACCCTGATCAGAAAATTCAACTTCACAGTCCCAGGCCTTGGAACCACCAGCCATCAGGATTAGACACTAAATACGTCAGTGCATAGTAGTCAGGGAAAATATTTATTAGCTTGATTTGTCACCACCATTCTCAGGCTTTCTGCAAGGGCAGATAACCCCAGACCTTGAAGCAGCCTGGTCCCCAGTGTGTTGTGAGCTAGCTTTGAATGTAGTTTCTGTAACTGCAGTACTGAGCATTCATCTCTGTGTTTGAAAGCATTGTCCGTCTGTTGGTTAGCTAAATAAATGTCACAAGGATTTGTTGGCAGGATGGCTTGCCTTAGTAAGAAGATCTTTTGCATTAGGACGTCCACTTTCTGGATTAGTTAAATGTCTTTTGGGTCTAGGCTAAGTATCTTGGGCGTGGATCTGGGTTTCCAGGCATTTCACAAAGGAAAGGATCAGAGTTCAAATCCAACTTGAGCTTACGTAGTTCTCTTTCTGACCTGGGCTGTGTTTTCCATTCTGTTTCAGCAGATGTCACTGACATGAAGATGATATTAGTACAAATCTCACAGTGCAGTGGTACTTCTGCTTCCTCCCCTCTTCTGTCATTTTGTTTATTTAAATCTAACCTTGTATGCCGCAAACGCACCTGAAAGGGCTCTTTGAGGCACTCGTCAAGAGCAGAGAGGGCTGCGGGACTGGTGCTGTTCGTACACGCCGTCTGGCAGAGATGATCAGAGTGTCCTCCCCCCTGGGAGCTGATTGATTCACCCCTGTGCAGAGGGGTAGTACAAGCCCTTTTTTATGAGCTGAGCTCTCCAAAGAGAGCTTAAATGATCAATCCATCTCAAATTATGCACAGAGATGGTTTTCAGACAGTTCAAGTCAGTCTCTCTAAACCTATGGGAGTTATTAATATGTGCAAGCCAGCAGAAGGGAGAATAGGACTCCATATTTTATTTGCTCTGTAACACATCTGGTACGCCTTTTGGCTCTTGGGAGCACTGGATTTATTCAGTCTTATCTTTCTATGGGGATGAGCAAGATCAAAAGCATGAAGCCGGCTACATGCAGAACGTAATTCCCTGTTATACACATGACAAGCAGATCCAGACCAAACAAGGCTCACCCATTTCCTTCTCTGTGGCACAATGCACTTATGGCACTTGTGTATTCATGGGCCAATTCAAGCCAAAAAATATTGCCCAAGATCTATTGCAGAGAATAAAAATAAACAAATGTTATTTCCTGTTGGGTAAAAGAAGGTCCATGTCAGTATTGACCTGTGAGGAAATCCCTCAAAGTGTTCCTGAACAATCAAATGCTTTGCCTGCAAAATGTTGGGTATCGTGAGGTAGAAGCTTTATGTCTAGCTCCTTTGGGAAGCTACACAGCTCCTCATAGAGGATCAATGAGAGAATTTCTTTGGAAGATTTATGCCATGGGTGATTGGTTGCCGTTAACACTCAAGCAATCTTCTTAGACTGTAAATCACTAACATGGAACAGCCAAGCTTCCTGGCCCTCAGAGCCATGCGCTAAAATCTTTGCATGGCTGAGAGCCATCAGTACATACCATGTGCTTCATGAAACTGGAAAGTGTTTGTGGATGAAGATTGGAGAGATTCTTTGGGGCTTCTTGTGCAAAAGGGGACAAAGCTTGTAGGGGGGGACAACTGAGTCCCAGGTGTTGGGGTGATGTTTAGTCAGGCCAAAACCCACGTTCACCCATTTGTCCCCATAGGGAGGCACTGGGTTTACTCAACATCCCCTGCATCAGTACAACCTCAGCCTGAGCTGCACTTGGATGGTCTATTAAGGGGCTCAAGAATCACAGGACAACCTCCCCAGCCCTATGGAAATACTAGGATTAAATACTTCTTCCATGGCCAGTCAATGAAAACGGGCTCTGGCCCTTATGGAGCCCAGAAACGCACACAGAGATGTAATTCTTCTCTGTGGGACAGCCCTGAAATGCACACAGAGATGTATTTCTCCTCTGTGGGACATGAGATGGTAGTGATTCTTCACCTGAATATGGATGGTTTATTCTCTGAAATACTTCATGCTGCAAGTAATTTTCCCTTTTTAAAAACTGCTGCGCTTCAGAAGTCATGATAGGTGAGTGGTCCAGCCTGGAAAGCTTCTCTGAGAGCTGGGAATGGGCAGTTCAAGACTGCTGCAAAGCACTGGGAAAGTGCCTTGTTGATTAAATCTCTGTTCAGGGCTTTATCCTCCTTCACTCACTTTAAAATTGCTGAAATGAAAACAGAGGCAAAGCAGCAGTTCTTCTGTTTAGATAAGTGATGTCCTTTGTATCAAGCAATCATTTTAAACTGCACTCAGAGCCCGTTACATTAACGTTTGTTCTTGCTGAGGCATCCTTTCAAGACCCCTTTGGTCGTTGCTGCCTATCTGTTGCTTCTATGCAGCAAAGTGAGATGGAAACCACTTCATGCTGCAGCTCCAGTCTGCATCAGCCCTAGGGTCTGTCTTGGATTTTCTTGCTGTCACTGAGACAGATGATTTGTTGTGGGAGTGGTAACAGGGCCTGGGAGTCCAGGGACAGATCAGGACTCCCACAGAGATGGGCATTTTGTATATTCATTGATTTTTCTCGATATTTGACCAGGACCTAGTATAGGAGAGGGTACAGGACAGAGCTAAATGGAAGTAGTGGTTGTGCAGCCTGATGTCCTGTGAGGTGGCAGCACGTGCCACACCAGCTTGCAGCAGTGGCAGAACAAGTGTCTCTGCTGGTGACAACAGGTCATGCTGGTTGGCACTGTGAGAAGTCTTACAACTAATTTTTTCCTCGCCTACCTTCTACCTATTGGGAACTTGGTTTCACACTCTGCCCCACTAAGCATCCCCAAACAAGGTTCATGTAACGTGGCTGTGGCTGTTTACCTGTGCCATGGATTTGAATACTTATTTTCCCCCCATAACTGATCTTGAATCACTTTTCTGTGTGCCTTGGATCAAAAGAGGATCAGGGTCTGCAGACTGAAAGCCATGGATTAAAACGCAAAGTATGTAGAAATTTTACATCATTTTGTTTTGTTCTTTCTAGAATGCATGAACTGCACGAGACTAGCGGATATGACCGAGAGGCTAAACACACTTGAGGCCAAGGTAAGGACCTGCCTTTATTCTTCTGTTTGGCAAAAATTTCCAAGAGTTGCTGCTGAAAAAGATGTTGAGTTGGCAGCCCTGGAGAGATCAGGTGTCTGTCCTCCTGTCCACAGCGAGGAACACGCTGTTAAAGAGGGCAGCGCTGCCGTGCACATGGGCGTCACTCACCTGGCTCCTTCTGCTTCCCACACATCCTCTTCGGCTTCACTCTGCCACACAGTTGCATCTCTGCCTCCCTTCTTCCCTGCTGTCACAAATGTGCAGCTGCTAATAAATAATACATAGCTCATTGCTCTCGACTGGAACACGTTGGCTCAGGTTTTGCTCCAGAAACAGAGGGCAGACGGAGCTATATGAAAAATCTCTTGCCTTCAGCTGGTTGATAACGTGGGGATGTAAAACAGTGATTCCCCTGGCTCAGGAAAGAAGCAGACTCTGATTCTGGTCTCTTTCACTAAAAATGCCTTGTAGAAACCTTACCAATGTAGAGTGCAAAACAGAAGAGTAACGGTATGTAGATTTTTCTAAGAACAGCTGTTCATTAGCCTGCTCTTCAAGTGCTATCCAGTCCTGCTTTTTTATCCCTTTTCTGAAAGATGGGAGGCTTTCATGTGTGGTTTAGTGGAGACAAATGTTCAGGGGAGACCTTCACGTTGTGGGGTTTTTTTCTGCAAATTGTTTTAATTTCTACCTACTGGGATTCAGATAAATCGTTCTAGTCTAGCAACAAAGCAGCTGAATCAGTCAGACCCCTTTGAGCTGTGGTCCCTCCTGTGACAGCCCATTCCTGGCTGTTAGATATAGTGCTTTGGTCCCTTTAAGGCATTGTGCTGCTGTTGTTATTCATTAACTGATGGTTATCGATGACATAAAAGAATTTGGGGAGAAACCTTCGTGGAGGGGGGTGGTAGATGTGGGGTGTTTTTGAGGCCAGTGCATGATATTATGGTAATTTGGGAATTGTCTGTGCTGAAATGGAGTAAGCAATGTTATCTGGAACTTCCTCAAAGCCTTTGCAGTTGTATTTCACTACAGGAAAATGAAGGGATGGGGGGGAATGAAATTATGGGGAGCAGAGTTGTTCGAGTGAAAACAACTGTTGTAGTGCAAAGGACAAAGATGAGCTGGATTGTTTTTCTGAGCAGCAGGACCTGGCAGGTGGGTGTTCTTTGGCAGCGAGGAGCTGGAGGCGTTTGGAGAGGAGAGAGGGGCTGGTGACTGACCTCTGTGTGTGCAGTCCCAAATCCAAGTAAGACACGGGACCAGCCTCAGAGAGGCGTAAATCAGCCCTCCCATGCTCAGCCTGTAGCCAGCTGTACCTTCCTTCGCTTTCCAGGGCTTTCTATATTTGACTTCACTAGAAAATGATAACCAAAGACTGTCCTGACATCAGAGCCCCTGTGCTCTGCTGGCTTGTGCAGCTCAGCACTTGTGTCGGGTAACAAAGCATAAGAGGCTAATGGCAACCTCTGCCAGGGCTCTGAGGACTTCACGGGGAGGAAGGAGATCCTACCTACCCAAATCCTCTCGAGAAGTCTTAGCCCAAGAATGAAACTGCACTCATGTCAGTGGGCTTGTCTTCCAGATACGAACCTGGTTTAAATTTATTCCCATAAATTCCCATCCTCTGAAAGCAATCTGCACTCTGGTGTTGGCACCAACTGCCAGACGCCCACGGTGTTTGGGAAGTGTTGCCTGCTTGCCTTCTGCATGGGAGCTCTAGTGAAGGCAGGAGCACATTGTCTTCTACTCTAACCTAGGACACTTGTTTGTGCAGCTATCGGCATTTGTCTCCCGACTGGCAAACCTGACGTGCTGTCCTTAGAAAATGCTTCCTGTGTTGGCAGCCGTATGGCTGCAACCTTGCTCTGCTTTCAGGAGGGAGCACTGAGTCATCATCAACAAACATAGTGTCGATGGCTGAAGACTTCATAGTCTTGCAGACCTTCTGACATGAGGAACAGTGAGGCGGATGCCTGCAAAGTTCAGTGCCAAGATGTGTAGCCAGACAGACCCTGGAGATGTCACTTGAAGGATTTTGGTACTGCCTCAGTCCCAGCCATAGCCAAGACCACACCAACCTCCTCTCTGCCTTCTTGAGAATGGGGCTTCGGGTAACTTGATTCTTGTCAGCTCTCGATCTTGGGTGTAGTGCATCATGTCTCTGTTTTAGTGCTGCAGTGAGGCAATTTGTGGTGTGGCTGTGATGGGTTTCCTTCTGACTTTGCTATGCTCCCACAGAGACCCAAGTTGGGAGCAAAGCTCATCAAAGGGTTTACTTTTACAGAGGGAAATGAGTTATTTCTTTCTATTGTGAAGTACTAAAGACTGTGTCTCTGCAAGGGTATCTTCTGCAGCATAGCCCAGCAATGTCATTATCAATCCTTTGGCTTCCACTTTGTTTGAAAAGCTGTGCAAAAATTGCCTGTAGCAATTAAGTGGAGAGTGAAGCAATATTACATGAATGCTGGTGCTGTTCACAAGAGAAATATGCCGATTCACCCTTTTTTCAAGGTTAATTTAAGTTCAGTTTGATCTATGGAGCAATGTCATGACCTCAGTTGTTGTTACTCAATAACAGCTCGCACTATTAAAAAGGTGTTTGAATTTGTTTAGTATTGTCTGTATTCCTGTTCTGGATTTTGGAGGAAGATCCCTATTTTGCTGGATGTGAAATTGTCTCTCAGCTCTCCAAACTGTCATCTTGTCATGTCTCATTTCACCACAACAACAGCCTGAAGCTGTTTGGAGGAAGACAGGGGTGAAGGGATGGACACACACATCCCTTACCAGTGTTGGAGACTGATCCCCCCCTGATTTTTGCTGTCTTGTTCTGCAAACGCAGATGTAGAAGTTCATCCTCCCTATGAGCAGAGATGGATTTTCCTGCCACAGTCCTGCTCCTTCTGGAGACAGCTGAAGTTGAGTAGCTTTGCTGCTTTTGCTCTCTTGAATTTCAGTCCAGCATGACCATGGTGAGCTCAGGGAATGGCAATGGGTAAGATCAGCCACCTCGGCGTAGCCAGCCAGCTTCAAGCAGGTCAGGCCATTGGCACCTGCTGTAAGGGCTTTGAGGCATGTGGAGCCTGTGTAGACTTGTTACAAATACTGCAAGGTCCAAGGGTGAGAGCAAATGTGTGGAAAGCTACCTCTGAAGGCACTGTGGACCTGGGCAGATCGGTGCTGGGTGAGGAGTTTTGCTTTAATAGAGTAGGTTAGGGACAAATGAAAAACAATCTCTTCCTCACATCTCTGCAATGGGGACAAGGAGCCAAGAGCCTTTCTTGGTTATGTGTGAGGACATGTAAAATGCATGTTTGTCCTCCAGTGGCTGTGAAGGGCAAGTTAAGGAAACTTAAACTCAGTCATGGAAGAAGAGGCTACAAGACTGTGATTTCTTCTTTCCCCACTCCTCTTCTGCAGGCTTTTATAGCTGTCCCCCTAAAAAATGGGGATATAACCAGAAATGGTCTCATCTTTCTTATTACAAGGATGAGTTGGTTTATCCAACTTGTAAGATCAGTGTCCAAATGAGGTAATAAAAGTAACCCTCTGATTTTTGTAATATAAGAGTTGGATCAGAAAGCGAGGAGGAAGAATAAACACAGACCAAATGGAATGAAAAATGACTCATTAGGGACTGGTGCTTATACAGCCCTTGGGAAGGAAAGAGACTCTGAGACATGGCTGAACTGTGTGGCAGAACAAACTCTTCACGTGTCTTATGCTTTCCTTAACGCTGCTCTAGGTTGTCCTTGTGGCTGTAGGAGATGTTTCTGCAGGAAAGGAGGTGAAGGGAGATGGAATCAGGCTCCATCCTCGTCACCCCTGTTTTGAGTTACCCTGTCATCTCCCCAGGATGGAGTTGGCCTGTTCCATTTGCTTGACACCAGACCCATTTGGATGCCAGAGATTTGAAAGCTTAATTGATGGTGTTGAGCTTGAAATCTACAGGCCATGAAATCTACATCAGGGAGGATGGTGCTGAGCCTGGGGTCAAGGACAAGAAAGTGTGCAGGCCAGAAGAAAACTACCCCCTCCCCAAGCCCCAACATGCCAAACCTCACTTCTCTCCCATGACATCTTACTTGACATCACTACAGCACCCGCTGACCCTGCGGGGAGCCTCATTGGTGGGAGGGCAGAATGAACGCTGCTTTTATTTCATATGAAAGGTTTCTCCTTAGGCCAGCACAGCTTCTTAGTGGGAAGAGTGTACAGCCCTTCCTTTCTGAATTTCCTGAGCCTGGTGCTGCCCTCCTGTGTCGCAGGACTAAGCCCAAACTCCACCGAAGCTCAAGAGAGCTGCAGTGTCAGGAGAGAGCGGCACCGCTGCCCACGGCAGGCAGTGCTAGCAGGAAAGCAGGCAGCTGCATAAAAATTTCTGCTCATTTTGTTTGCCCAGTTTCTTTCAATAAACTCCACCACAGAGCTACAGGCAGTGCGATATTAATCGCAGCTTTTGGTTGGAGCTTGAGTGCAGCATTTGATCTGAGTTGATATAACCCAGTCTTATCTCCTGACACTGCTTTTGAGAAGTTCGTGGCATTTCACTTACAGCTTTAATGCAGGGAGATAACATTACATATCTAGAGTCTGACTGATTCATTGTGTGATTGATAAATGACATGCATATTTTTTGCATGAAAACAGTCCTTGTAATGTGATTCCCCACGCAGAAGATTCTGAAAGGTTTTAAAGAAAATCTTTGTACTGTGCACAGAGTTTGATCAATACATTGCTCTTTCTATGAAATTACCCCACTTATTTAGAACAGATTACCCCACAGCACCTTCGCCACCCTGTGTCTTTTGATTATGAAGCATCATTACTTGGAGTTTTAATGTAATCATTGTATGAAATGTTTCTGTATCTCCCCCTTCTTACAAGCAGCTACAAGAAATATTGGCAGCTGTCTGGGGTGTTTTATGGGGTTTGTCTTTTCTTTCTCTCATAGACAATAAAACAATTTCCTGCTGTAGTGGAGAAATATTTGGAAA